GAGTTGAAGGGGAATGGGAGCTGACAGTCAATCTTCAGGCGTTTGGTCACACGAGAACATGAGCGGCGGCCTGCAGGCGTTCAGCCTGGCCCTCTTCACCCGAGTTCTGAACTGGAGCGCCGAGGAGGTTGAGATCTTCATCGCCAACGTGCGCAAGGACTTGCGGAACAGGAGCTACCACGCCTACTGGCCCATGTAAGCTCATCCCCTTGTCCGTCTTGGTGAATGATCTGCTAATCGAGTGCGGCAGTGTCGTGACATATGGACAGAAACCCGAGGGTGCAAGCGAGCCGACTGCCGCTTGAACCATTCCATTCTGAATCGGAACCTGTCTATTCTTTGAGGGCCTGGCTGTAGAGCCCGGACGTTTGGATAGAGAGCCCGGAAAAGGTGGCCCCTCTGAACTGAAGTCGCGATGGCCTCGAAGCTACTGAACTGAAAGACACTACACACGGCCAGGTCTATCGCGATCAACTGCTCATCTCGATCAACCGCTCATCTAGATCAACTACTCATCTAGATCAACTACTTATCTAGATCAACTACTCATCTAGATCAACTGCTCATCTAGATCAACTGCTTGGTCGCAGTCTATCTGTGCCCCTGATTGACGCGGTTGCCGGGTTATCTGTAGTAGTTAAGTGGCTGTGTCCGAGTCTTTTACGACAGCGGTTTCCAGGGGACCCATCTTTTCCGGGCTCTCTATCCAAACGTCCGGGCTCTACAACCAGGCCTTTCTTTGATGCAAGAAGCTTGAGATATCCTGTTCAGCACGGAGGGTTCTAAAGTTCATTCAGATTCGTGGCGATACTGCCAGACGCCACTTTCAAGAGAGATTGATCTCCAGACCCATACGCAGCCCTCACCGTCGACTTCTGGCGTCCTCCAAACAAGCTACTAGATCCTCCTTCCAGGGGTCCTCCACGGCCATGACATCACAAATGGCACCCCTCAGCATCAAGAACCCTCGTAGTTCTGCCTTCCCCTGAGCACAAAAGCCCCATTGTGTGCGGCAGCGCCACTCTATGTCCTCACAGAGTCGCGCGCTCGTCACCGCTAGGCTCCGGATCCATCACCGTCTGCCCAGTGATACCAGTGACGGGCCTCTTTCCGGCATGCGCCTCAGAGTGCTCCACCTCATCGTGATATTGGGCCTCGTCGTCGGCCAACAGACCCACGGTACTCTCGCCGCCGCGGAGGAACCAGGGCATCGACTTGCCCCTGGGCTGGATCTGGTGCGCGCAGTTCGGGCATAGCTGCGGCGGTCCGGTGAAGTGCAGGTAGATCGCCCTCGCAACGAAGAACCCATGGGCGAAGCTGCTCAGTGTCAGTACCTGAATTCAGAACCAACGGGACACTGGATGGGGAAAGCCTCGTACATGTTAAAGAGCATCGGCACCGTAGCGTATGCCGCCAGCATGAGAATACTGTCGTTGTTGCAGTAGTAGCACCAACCGTTCGCGTTCGACCAGATCACCCAGGTGGAAACGTAGGCGATGATGAGCGACGACAGTAGAAGGGCGTCCGCACTGAAGATGCCAATGGGCGACGGCCGGGTGCCCCTTGTCCGCAGGAGCACGAGCGAGAAGACCGCGGATATGAAGAGCGGCAACAGCCCGAGACCGGGTAGAATCTGCCTGAGGACGACGCTCGGAGGAACGGCGAGGCCGACACAGGCCAGGAAAGAGACGATGCACGCCTTCCGGAGCGACCGGGCGCCGACCCAATCGATGTCCTTGGCCATGGTGAGGTGATTGATGGGGTGGTGTTGGGAAGCTGGTATATTCAGGCCTTTCGTTTGTGGTCTGGAATGGAGACTGATGATCGCTTGATGGCTTGAGCTTTGATGTCGTTCGGAAATTGGTGAATGAAATGTAGAAGGTGCTGATTGTACTTATTGCCTGGCCTGGGTCAACTGTCGTGCATCACAACAACCCTCAAGGCACCCGAGTCCCGGAGTTTCGGACTTGCTGCCTGCTCCCGCGCGCGTCATCAGCCCGCACCAAGACCGAACTGGGTTTCATGTCTTGCCATGCAATTGGAACGATTGGCCCTCCATGCTGTTGCTGGGTGATCACTGGCCGTCTTGCACAGAACCCGGGCGAGCTCCTTTGGGGCGTCCCCGCTGCGCTGCATCATGATGGCCTTCATCCTGCATGGCCTGCATTCCATGCTAGGCTGCCAGGGTTGGCTCGACTACGAGGTGTACTTCACTGGCATCCTGTCCGTCTGCGCACACGTCATCAGCAAGTTGGTTGTCACTGTTCCGCGAGGGACTCGATTATACCTCTTGAAGAAGATACCTAGGTACAGTACGGGCCCTCGCGGGCGTCCCGCTCGCCCAGCGATCGGCCCCAAAACATGGCCTCTGAGGTACGGATATACACAAATCATCGGTTCCTTTCTTCTTTTGAGGTTGCGGATCCGGCTTGGCATCGAATGCGGCACAGTCCTACCTACGTTTGGACCAACTAACGAGTGCTCCCCAGGCAGCGGTGGGCTGCCCATGGTCTCTGTCGATACCTAAGAACCCAACCAGACCAGGTAGTCATACGTTTAATATCAATAAATCAGCATACAATGGTTGAGATTGCGTCCCCGCTATGTTGGGAGCCTGTGATAGAATGTAAGTCGAGCTAGACTGGAGACCCAACCAAGTCAAACTAGGTATGACTGCCCTGTTGAGATCGATGCCACTTGGTGGTCACTCATGTTGCGCATCATTTTCTTGTACGGAAGTCCTGCGCCACCCCCATCCCCGACCCACGGATGCACACATACTGTTCTCATGACGGCAGACATGGTCTTGTAAATGTCTTCCGTCAAGATTCCACGAGCTGAGAATTGCCATTGGAGAAGCTGCAAAGTGAAAGGGCTGTCCTGGTATTCCCTTCAGTAGGCCATCGTCATGTTCTGTGACCGTAATGAATTTCTGCGACAGTACGTGCTTTTCGTAGAACAGTGCAGGGTCCGTCCTATGTTTTGGTACCGTCGCTATCGGTGTCAACTGGGGAAGTGTAGGTAGGCAGCTCATTACTTACTTGACCTTTGATTATTGCCCTGCTCACTTACTCACATGTCTCCATTTAACCAAACTGGAAGGCTTAACAGTTGGGCCGTGTTGCTCCATGAGTCCGAGACGCCTCAACCCAAAAGTGTGATCCAGTGCTGACTTGCCGTGTGAATTGCCTGTTCCCAGTGCTGAAGTGACAATTCCCGAAATTCCACATCAGTATAAATCTACAAGAAGAGGCCGAAATTTGTTGTAGTTCCCCACACACTACCAACAACTCATCCAGCAATTTCAACCAGGTCGTTCGACATCACCTCACAAACTTTCAGTCTTCAGCATCCTCAAGACATGTCCTTCATTCTCGCCGCTTTTGGTTCAAAATCTCAACGAGCTAAGAAAGACAAGAAGAAGGATAAAAAGAACGACAACAAAGACACTTCCAAGCAAGACACCTCCGACAATCCCGACAGGCCCAAAGTGGGTTACGACAAGAAAGGCAGGATGTGTCTCGTGGTACCCAAGTCTGGCAAAAGCCACAAGTCGAGGAGAACTCGCACAACGGTGTGTACTCGTGTGGACGTCTATCAGATTGCAGGCACTCAGATACCAGCTCCGGGACCAGTAATGCTTTCACAGCAACACTATCAGCCATCTGTGGCCCTCTCGATTCGTTCCGTGGTGCCATCTCAGGCCGGCTCCCGCACGATATACCAGAGTGGCCGATACCCACCCGCGCCCTCAGTAAGGTCAGACAGGAGCGTCAGGAGAGTGGATGGCTCATACCCAGGGTTGCTTTTGGCAGCCCCGTCACAGTCGCCGCGACAAGGCAATCGCCACCCAGCCCCGCCCTCTTCCGCGGGTTCGTCCCGGACTAGAGCTAGCTCTCGCGGCGTGCGGCGCCTGCCACAGTCAATACAGGGCGATGGTTACCCGCCGACTCTGCAGCGCTGGCAGGAGGAAGAAGATGACCGTTCCAGGGCGATGAGTGGAAGGTCCATGGGGCCAAGGTCTGTGGCACCGAGGTCAATTTCTGGCAGGAGCGGGAATCCCAGTCTTTACAGGACACCCGACGGCCGTCAGTTCACTCGGGACACGGGACAGGAAGTGGTTCAGGGGGTCTAACAGGATGGACAGCACCGTCGGCTCTTTCAGGGGTGTTGTCCTGCCCCGAGGACGGCATAGACAGCACGCCGATGCCATCAGAAAGCGTCTACGAGGGCATAGACTAGTTCTCAAATTTGGATGGCCCGGAAACAAAAACAGATCTTGAAAGAAATCCGGGAATTGGGTCCCCAGGAGTGAAAAGGTAAAATGCCACCCAGCCCCCGAATCACATCTCAGTTTCGAAAATTCCACATCCGTTATCACGGGGCTGGAGAAGGACATGTTCCTCCGCTTTGTGAAGAAGATGCTGACCAGCGACTCCAAAGAGTCACGACCGCCTCTCGGCCACGGACCTTTTGAAGGACCCCTGGCTCCACACCGAGTATAATCAACACTACGTATAGCCTGCTCCTAGGTTTGCACAGGAGCCTGTTAACGACACTGGACAGTAAGCATCGTCATCATGATTGTAATTTCACAGATTCCTGTCAGAACATTGACATTAGTCCTCCAGAGCCACATCCACGCCAGACAACCACACCTTGCCCCAAACCCAGCTCCCATCGTCCCCGGTGGTTCCCAGGTCCACCCTGCTCCAGTCTGATCCGCTTGCCCCTCCATCAGTCCCATCACGACCTCCATCGATCCCCTTGACCCACTACCGCACTCCGTAATCCCACACTTAGCCCCGGCTCAACATCCCAGTCTGGATGGCTCAGTTGGTTAGAGCGTTGGTCTCATAGCAGTATGAGTTTCCTGTTAACAGGAGATCCAATCCAAAGGTCGTGAGTTCGAGCCTCACTCCGGACACGATTACTTTTTGTCTTGCTCTCCATGCCTCTGTTTCTCGCGTCTTGAGCTCCAGATTACAACAAGATGACATGTCTGGATGGCTCAGTTGGTTAGAGCGTTGGTCTCATATGATATGAGTCTTCTGTCAACAGAAGATGTTATCCAAAGGTCGTGAGTTCGAGCCTCACTCCGGACACTTACAGTTTTGTCAATGAGAGGAAATGATGACTCTGATGTTCTTTTTAGCAGGTTGGGTTTTTGGAAGCAGCTTTGTGTTGACTGTGCAAGGTTGACTGTGCAAGGTTGACTATGCAAGGTCGCAAGTTTGCTTCTCTCAGGGCATTTCTCAGAATAAGGTAGGTACCTATTGCCCTTACAGATAATTTGGGAACTTTCTGAGAGCTTCTCTACGGTATGCACAATCAAAGTGGCCGTCGTGGGATTGCTTTTGTCAGACGGCTTCGTCTACAAGACACCCATCTTAAACAATCAAACCATGTCAACCCTAGTTTTATTGCTTTTCCCCTTATCATTACTGCACTGTGACGTGAGTCACATTTGGTCCTCGACCGGGGAGAAGGATGGCATATGTTGACCCATGACCTCCAACGCATCGCCTCACATAGGTCAAACCTCGGCAGGGAGGGATGCAATGTTGAAGCATCCGTTTGAACATCTCTTTACCGCGCTTCATCGAGTCCAGGACACCGCTCTTCCGAGGTTCCTGTCCCCCACCTCATGTCAATATCTTCACCGTCCCGGAACCTACCCACCCGGGAACAAGCAACGTCCCGCATCACGTCCACGTGGTGCTGTATCCTCCCAGACCGACAAGACAGCCAGGGGAACGTCGGCGCTGCCAATCACACCGCCTGGCACCCTGGGAGACATGGGCGAATGAGCGCACGCCACACTTCACAAGCCCGCAAACAAGAACAGCACGATCAAGGTCGCTTCGATAGATCAGGCTGTCAAGCCACTCATCGGCCGCAGTGGCTTGCGACATGTCGACATGTCGACATGCCCTGGTTATGGCCGGTCGGGCTCCCAGGCACCAGATCGGCCTGATGTGGATGGACATCAGGGGCAGGGGCAGGGTCGCGAAAAGCTTGTTGAGGATCGTCCTTGGGCTCTGTTCGTCTGTTGGGCACAAACTCGGCGCGTCTGCGCTTCAACTGCATATGTTCGGGAGGCGTCAATGTCGGCACTTGCGCCGTCACGGTGACATCGCGACATGGAAGCTCGCAACTCTGACCCAAAGGCAGTTACTCTGAGGGGGAATCAACGGCGTCAACGTTCTTGGACCGTCCTCGTCATTCCTCCCAGCCCTGGATCCTCTGACCACCCAGGTCGCGAGGTTGATCGTCGGAGGCGCTTCCGTCTGCCACGGTCCCCCCCGGTCGCGGACCCGGTTCTCGACCGCGCGCACGCTCGTAGATCAATTGCCCGGTGTGGGAAGAGGGCGACGCGACGAGACGAGGAAAAAGTTTATGAAAATCCGGGACGTCTCCCGGGGCAGGGGTGGTTTATCACACCCTCTTGGAGACCAGGCTTCTGGCGTGCCACGCGCTTTTTCGCTCGCGCGCGGTGCTCGCGAGGCCACGGCGTGACGATTGACTTTTTGCCCCTGTTCCGCCGGCGCGGTCGTGGAAGCGGCAGTGTTTCGACGGCGGCGCATGGCGCGAAGTCTGTGGAAAGGGGGAGGGGATGGCTCGGACGAAGGCGATGGTCGCTCGCTTGGGAGAAAGTTCAGGGAGCAGCCGACGCCGTCCGAGTTCGTAGGGCCCGACTGTCCGAGTCCCTCGGGGACGGGCGTCTATTGACAGCGAGTGAAAACAACAATAAACAGAAAAAAAAAGGGGGAAGAGAGGGCAAACAAAAACAAACCGAGCCGTCACTGTCCCGTCGTCTCAACTTTTTGGTGGTGAGACTGCGCATGGACGGCGTTCGTCCTCGAACCCCTTGGGCTCTGATGCGAACCGTGCGATGCAAGGCGAGATGGCATCGGGGAGTTCAACTTAGTACCCGGGCAATGCGGCGCGGCTGAACGTGCACTCCCGCACCGGAAGCATGGGCCACGCTCACCACGGGCGCGCCGTCACGATGCGGCCGACGGGAGCTTCTCGGGAGTCGAGGTTCAGCTGAGGTGTGTCCGGCCTTTGGTCCGTCTGTGCCTTTCATTACGAGGGTCGCCGCCGGTGCTAAAGAGGCGTAGCGAGGGTTTCAATGCGACGACCAGAGGCAGGCCGGGCCGACAGGACTCGGGAGAGGGCGGGAAGGATTGTTGGGATCAGGCCGAACCATGGTCCGATATCGTTCTGGCCGGTGAAGACGGCAGAGGATGCGACGCAAAGAAGAGCCGGGCAGATTAAGCAGCGAGACAGGATTAGCAACAGGGCAACAGTTGGCATGTGCTGCTCAATTGAACCTCGAATGCAACCCTCGAGACGCGACCGGTGTGCCTCCTTCTGCCTCGTCACCAGCCCGGCGCATGCACAACCCATGCGGCCAGTCGCTGACAACAGTAGCCTTCTGCAGGTGTAGGTTCGTCCAGAGCTCACGAGAAGCTCTTCCTGCATGGTGAAAAGCCCCAACAAGCCGTCCTCCAACGTGGCCAAGTCCAAGTCGTGCGTGCGCCCTGGTGCTAGCTGTCCCGCCAGACAAATCGCATTCGAGGCCGCACCACCACCGTCAGCGGTGGCTAATGCAAGGTACGGAGGGGTGGGAAAAGGCCTCACGGGAGAGGCCCGTTGCGTGAAGAAAAAGGTGTGCGGCGGCATCACGGGTAAAGTGGGTGACGCAACCATCTCGCGAGCGGCACAGGTGGTGAAAAAAGGGCCAGGTCCCTGGAAAAAGACCGTGAGATGGCCCGCCGGCGTGAGGGATTGCCAGCTTTGGCTTGGTTTCTCTGGCTGAACTCTCACGCGCCTCCACTGTACCGTCGTCCGTCGAAGTGGCTTGCAGGAAGAAGCGGGCAGAGAAGTCTGTGAAGGAGGGGAGGGGCGGTCGAGTTTCTCTGCCGCAGGGTCCAACAGGAATATGGATGTAGGCGGGGTCGAACCGATGGAAAACATGTGAGTGAGTCTGGCGGAATTCCAGGCCGTCTCCGATTCCCATTCCATCGGCAGCCGCCGGTGAACTTCGACATTCGACGGGATGTAGGTTCATGCATGCAGAGAACCAGGGCATTGTACCGCAACGGTGGCATGATGATGGGCTGGCACGGGATGGCACGGCTGGACGTCCGCGAGAGCGAAGCATGGTATTCAGAGGCGGCTCAGTGCCAGCAGGAATGGCTCCCGAGCGAGCCTACCATCTTGGGTCAGTCCGTCCACGGACGGGAAGCTCGAGGGAAAGCGGCAGCAACCGTCGCCCTCGTGGCACTGAACCGCTCGTCAGATAGACTGCGATGAGCTCTAACCACCTTCGCTCTCTCGCCGGCCGGAGACCCGGCCTGCCGGTGTCACGACGTCAGGAGCATCGCCCTGTAGTTAAGCAGGATTACGCGAGAAGAGGGGGAGGGGGCTTTCTCCCGGGGAGGACAAATCGCATCTTTGATGCGCCGAGGACGTCCCCCGCATCTGGACGCGCTGCGGGTGCGACGTGAGACGAGCGATGGCAGGAGCAGGAGTTCGGGGGGCGAGCTGCGGGCTGCGGGCATGGCCGTCAGCATGCAGGGTGCTTCCTCTCGCGCGTCGGGGTGTTGGTGAAGTGCGAGTTCGACGCAGTTGGGGCATCCTCCGAGAAAAGCCAGCGGTCCGAGTCGACGACGGGATGCACGTCGCCGGTGTCCGGTCGGGTCATGGTCTGGCGCTGGCGCGGGCGACGGCGTCAAGTCAAGAACAATCCGGGGGACTGGGATGTGCCTCGGCTGGGAGATTCCGTCTGTGCCAGTGTTCTGGTTTCCCAACCGGCAGGGTTTCCCACCGGCAGATGGCCATCGTCGATTGGAAATTGGAGCTTGTTTTCGACAACGAGATTAAAGAAAACGAGCATCGAGCGTCATCGACGATTGTCGTCCTTGTCAATCCAGGCACAGGGCAATGATCAGCCTGGCAGCTCGTGGCACATCCTTGACAGCGTCGCGTTGGCCAATCGGTGGGCGGGAAAAGGAAGCGGAAGAAGTCCCCAATGGGCATGGCAGCGGTTTCTTGGGAAGGTCTTCCTGGTCTGCGGACTTGATCTGTAGATGGACCCCAGGAGTAGGCTAAAGTCACTGGCAAGCCTTGCTCGGTTTGCGACGACGGTGTCGGAGGGAGGGGACTGGGCACGCGAGCAAGCAACGGAAGCCGTCCTGGCAATTGTGCGAGGCATCCTCCGCGTTCAGGGCTCGGTTCAACACCGGGTGCAAGGAGAGGAGTTTGCGTCACTGCGGGTGGCACTTCGTATCCAAATTGCCGTCACGGTCCCGTCAGGATCCATCGACGTCGGGTCTGATGTGACTCCATCATTTAGCTGAACTGCGAAAACGTCCCGGGTTCGATAGCCAGTCTCAGGTTTGACGTGGAAAAGGAAGGAAAGTGTCTGGTGACTCCGCCTCCGTGGCAAGACGACAGGTGATTGATTTTTCAGTCCATTCATCCTGTCTTTTGACGCTCGGTCAACCGGTCGGCCGGAGAATAAGAAAAACGTGCGTGCTGATGAAAATTTTCGCGCCGTCCCAACGCCAGAAGCTCCATCAGCGACCAAGAAGCGATGACGCAACACCTCGTCCCGTTCGGCTGACTAACATTTCCCGTCCCCTCGGTCGCTTCCGTTTCAATCGCACAGCCCTGGCCCAAGACGGATTAAGGATTCCAATTGAATTGAATTGGGAAGCAACACAAGGCAGAGCAGGAAGCTCCCCCTGATGATCAGCTTTTGCTCTAATTCGGATAGGGAAGGTGGTGATGGCGATCCGAGGTCGAACCAGGAAGAAGCCTGGAAGGACATGTCAGGGCGCGCTCGAAGAATCAACCAAAAATGCGACCGATGATGCCACAGCCCTTTTCGAATTAACCACCACACAGCCCACCTGCTAGGAGCCGCCCCGCTTGTAACCCTTGGGAGGGCCAGGGCAGTTGAGGCTTATGCTCCGTTTTTCGTAGAAACTTCATGAATCAGTTCCCGTGGGTCAGCCATCTGCTGCGCCTTGGACCCAATAACGGCTTCGGGGACCTCTCCGTTCACGGCGCACCACGATGCGGAGCCCCAAGC